ATTTTGTACGGTTTAATTATGACTATTCGGACATGTGTTGTTTTGCGATACTGATCGCGTTGTGTTCCCGCTGCTTACTCTGATTTGATTTAAAATGATTTTGGATTTCGTGATTTTGCTTCCGCAATTTATTATTTTATTGTATATCGTCCATGTGGCACAACCCGTATACTGTACACGGGTTACGGGTGTCACAACTTTTGGTATCAGAGCCACGTTCTTTCCCTGGGAAGGTGTCGTGCTCATTACCTAATGATTTTCACCGAAAATGTTTTCAAACCACATCCGAAGAAAATCCTCTTTTGCCGAGGTCCGTACATTGATGATGCGAGCTGGAGTCGTCGAAGGCTTATTAAATTTAACATGGTGCAGTTAGACTTATATGCTTAAATAGAGATCAACAATTTCCAAAAATTAAGTCCAATGTCTATACTAAGGGATTGGAATTAGGGAACTAATTCCAAAATCCCTAAGAAGCCCTATAGCAGTACCTAAAGGAACCTGTGCCAATCCACCCGAGTGGGAGGTTTAAGACAAAGGGGGAGGACTTATCTCGCTCGCCAACTATATTGACATTAGCAGAGGACCCCATTAAGTTCAATACGAATGACTGAAAAGAAGATAATCAAGAAGAGCAACCGGGCATTCCTTGTTACCCGAAGCATAGATTGGAGGACACACCGGTTACCTGAGACTTTCTAATGTTTTTCCCTGATGACTTGTCAGAATTTCTGTCAAGGGGGAGAAATGGATTTCACCACTGACATACTACCGGGTACAGAGTTAATCACCAAGGCTCTATACCGGATAACACCGGTTGAGATGATCGAATTGAATGAGTAGTTTAACGAATAAATGAAAAAGGTCTATACGCCCAACGGTTCACCGTAGGGAACACCAGTACTCTTCGTGAAGAAAAAGGACGGGAGTATGCATTTGTACATCGATTACCGAGGGCTCAACCAAGTGACTATCAAGAATCAGTATCCGTTACCGAGGATTGACGAGTTGCTGGACCAGCTACAGGGAGCCCAATGGTATACGAATATCGATCTACGATCCGGATATCCCCAAATTCGGATCAAGGAGGATGACATACAGAAGACAACATTCGGAACTAGATATGGACACTTCGAGTTCGTGATCATGCCTTTCGGACTCACGAACGCGTCTGCGGTGTTCATGTAACTGATGAACCGAGTATTCCTGGACTATCTGGATGCGTTTGTCCTCTTTTTCATCGATGACCTCCTCATCTATTCGCCAGATCCGCAGACACATGAGGAGCATCTGCGAAAGATATTGCCGAGACTAAGGGAGAACCGATTGTATGCAAAGTTCAGTAATTGCAGCTTTTGGTTACAGGAGATTGGATTCCTGTGACATGTGGTATCGGCCCAGGGCATTCAGGTCGATCTAGCAAAGATCGAGGCCGACATGGAGTGGCAGTCCTCGACTTCTGCGACGGAAGTCAGGAGCTTCTTGGGACTAGCCGGCTATTACCGACGATTCGTCGAGGGATTCGCCAAAATCGCTCGACCCTTGACGAAGCTGACAAGAAAGAACGTCAGGTTCGAGTGGACGGCAGACTGCGAGGAGAGCTTCGGAGAGTTGAAGCGGAGATTGACATCAGCGCCAATCCTGGAATTACCACGGTCGGGAATGCTGTACGAGGTATATACTGACGCGTCCAAGCATGGACTCGATTGCGTGTTGATGCAGGAGGGACACGTGATCGCTTACGCGTCGAGGCAGTTGAAGAAACATGAGGAAAACTACCCAACACACGACATGGAGTTTGCAGCAGTAGTTCATGCACTGAAGATTTGGAGATCGTACCTATACGGGGAATAGGTTAAGCTCAACACGGATCACAAGAGCTTAACGCACGTGATATCTCAGAAGGATCTGAATCTGAGACAACGAAGATGGTTAGAATTGATTGCGGACTATGATCTAGAGATAGCCTACCATCCGGGGAAGGCTAACATACACATATTCATATACACATACAATCACATATACATACACATGCATATTCACATTCACATATATCTGTTGAGTTGGTTGCGATGTTGGGACATCTGTCCTTGACACCCAAGGAGTCTACATCAACTTTGATAGAGCGAGCAGTCGTGGGGCAGCGTGATGACCCCTTACTCGCTCGGTACATGGACCATATAGAGGATTATAGCCTCAAGGGCTACCGCATTGACGAGCAGGGGGCGCTAAGACTGGGAAACCGGCTGTGTGTACCGAATGATCAAGAGTTAAGGCGAGAAATTCTATCAGAGGCACATCAATCAAAGTTGGCGATACATCCAGGAGCGAGTAAGATGTATCAGGGCCTACGCCGGTGGTATACTTGGCCAAGGATCAAGAGAGATGTGGCGGATTATGTAGCGAGATGCCTCACTTGCCAGCAAGTGAAGGCGGAGCGACAGATGCCGGGAGGTAAGCTACAGCCGCTGGAGATACCAGAGTGGAAGTGGGATTCGATCGCCATGGATTTTGTGGTCGGATTGCCGCTAACGCCAAACAAGAAGAACGCTATTTGGGTAGTCGTGGATCGACTAACCAAATCTGCCCATTTTATTCTCATCCGCCAAGAGTATACAATTGACCGGTTGGCACAGATTTACATTGATGAGATCGTGCGTCTGCACGGGGTCCCGAACGAGATCATCTCAGACCGAGACGCCCGATTCACATCACGTCTGTGGAAGGCGATACAGGAAGCTCTGGGGACGAAGCTCAAGATGAGCACGGCATACCATCCCCAGACAGATGGCCAGTCGGAGCGAACGATACAGACCCTGGAGGACATGCTCAGAGCATGTATTATGGAGTGGGGAGCTCCGTGGGATCGGTACTTGACATTGTGCGAGTTTTCGTATAACAACAGTCATCACACGAGCATCGGAGTGTCTCCATACGAGGCCTTATACGGGAGACCGTGCACGACTCCATTATGCTGGCCAG